GTACCTCTGGTGCAAATTACTGACCTCTGTCATCATTTTAAGTGGGGGAACTTGCACAATCGGTGGCTGACTAAATACTTTTTTGCCCCACTGTAAATAAAATTGAATTGAATTATTCTATTAAATAGCTAAAACACTTAAACACTAATTAACCCATTTGCATTAAGTTGGAGCTACAGGGCCTAATCAGTCGATTTTTGGGTCTAAGCATCAAATAGTAGATGATCCAGAAAAAGGATGTTGTATATCACCAACCTATCTAGTTGAACAGAAACCAAGATTTGGGAGCTACTGACACACTGCAACAACGCGGTATCTGAATAATTATATCTGACCAGCTAAATGAAAAATTAACTAGCCTCTGCTCCAGAAGAAGTATGCTGAATCGTCCACAAATGAAATGTCTCATAGGCGATGAAGATAACTCGGCGTGTACGTCACATTTCAAAAAGACAAATTTCTGCTATTGCAGTTTCAGGCTACACTGCATCTGTCTGTGGCTTGTTTCCAGAAGAAAAAAAAATGTAAAAAGCCAACATTAATCATTTACTGCAGCAGTAACTCACCAGCCTCATCTATATCTGACTACCTTATATTGCATATGAAAGACTGCCCAAGTAAAATATTAACTAAATAATGCACTCCCTAACCGTACCATATTATCTAACCATTAACAGTCAAATTTCAACAATTTTTGAACAAACACATTTGACAAATCAGTCAACAGCATAGTTGAGTAATACACTTACTTGTCAAAGTGTATCTTTACAGCATGGTCTGCTTGTGCTTCAATCACCCACTGGCAGTTCAGAGAGTCTTTGTAAAAGGAGGGCCAACCAGGAGATAGCAAAACACCTGTAGGAGCTGTAAGATGCCCTCCACAGGGAGCTGGATGGAAACAAAGACCCCCACACACAACCACAGGAAATAAAATTAATAATTTTCTCCTTGTAAATGTCTGTAAATTGCTCCTATTTCATTAAGTTAGCAGATTAATTGTCTGCTCTGTTTATTTTATCATTCTAATCCACTCTGAATTTCTATATTTCATACATAAACATTTACCTTCAGAAATTACGGTGAGCCCATCATGTGCTAGAGTAAGCAATTTTGAGTTAGTGATGTTTGAAAAAGCCCAAAATAATTATCACATTATAATTTATAGGAGAAATTAAATATATTTATGTGTCAAATGGTGCCAAAAAATAACTCTCCGTTTCCCTGCACAAGCTGCAGGCAGCAAAACTGGCACATACCGTCACTACTTTATAGCTCAGTTCCAAAATTTCAATTATGACACATTAAAAAACAATAATTATCTCCCGTTGAGTTGTTTCTTTCAAATAAAATGAAATGTCAGACATCGTATCATGTTCGGTTTTTATTCTTATTCATTTTGAGTCTGTCTAGAACCTGAATTAAACATAAAAAACTCCAGACCTGGAATTCATGGTTTCTTCATTATTCATTGCTACAACATATAATTTGCAGTGGCTTGTCTTTTCAAGTAGCTCATACCTTTGCCTATTTGATTGCTCTCATAAATCCAGACTTTCAGCAAGAAAAGAAAAAAAAACCCACAGAATGCATACTGAAGGAGCAGTTTTTTTGGATGGGATCTTCAAGAACAGGAGAGATGATATTCTCTCGTACTCCATAGTTAAAAAGATGACCCCCTATGTTCAATTTGATTTTGTCCTCTGCCTGATTTATTAACAACAGGCAACAATTGATAATGTCATTTAGACAATGCAATCAGGATGCAAGATGGGAAGGTTGCAAAGATAAACATACAAACGCTCACAGACTGGTGGGTGCCATTCACCTTCAAAAATTGTCGAAAAAGCAGAAAACTGACAATCCTGTTATTATCACTTCCACATATCTGCAACCTAATAGTACATCTTTGTCTTTCGGTGTCTAAATAAATGAATATGTGTCCCTGAAAAGCTTTGGTACAACGTGTGCCAGTCTCATTTAAAGATTATTCTTTAGAAAGAATGATGTGTCCAGACTGCAAAGCTAAAATCAATTAAAAGAGAAAATTTAATTGTTCCAAAGGTGCATAAACACACTTGAGCTGTATGGTAATCGCTAAAATAGTTGAATGTTTTGTGGAACATTATACTCCTATATACAGTAAACAGTTCTTATGTGTAGGTGTCTGCTTAGGTTTACCTTCACAGCGAGGTACAGCTGCAGACCAGACAACATTTCCATCCTGAATAATGCAGGTGACCTGATCGGACCCCTGGAAATACACGATTTAAAGAAATGTTACATTTATACTAGGTTTTACCACACAACTATGGACACCGATTATGACAATCATTTCAAAATTGTGTTAAAAAAGTGTGATAATGATACTTTCAAATGATTATTACCTGAGTCCGAATGAATCCTTGATCACAGCGAAACGCCACTGAGCTGCCAAGCTGAAACTGGTCACCGTACCTCTGACCATTTACTGGGACTCCTGGGTCATGGCATTCATTCTGACCAAATGCTACAGAGAGAAAATAACCAGAGAAAAGTTAAAACTGGGGCTAAGACACATAAGATTGAATTACTGTATCAAACAGGGGCAAATTAATTTGAAAAGGAAAGAACAAAGATGTAATCTGAAAAAAAGAGAAAGCTGGCAGATTGCAACTACACTCTGGTTAAGTGGTTCAAAATATGTATGCATATTTATTCATTTGAGCAGTTTTTACCAGTTTTTTCAATTTATTTTAATACCGAAAAATTGGTTCTGCCAGAGGAAAAAAATGAAACCGCTGCTGTATCACTGTCAGTGAATGTGACATCTCCACTGATATGGAAATATGGGAATGGAATTATCTTTATGTGGACTCAACCTTGTCATGTTAAGCTTATATTATCCCCATTCCAGAGATTAACCTGATCCCACCCAGAGCACACACCCAGTGATTGGACATGTCTCAGGTTGATTAGCTGCTGATGGAGGGAAATGGGAGCAGTGAGAGAAAGGAGAGGACGTAGGGAAAAAAATGAGAGCCACAAGGGAAATGGCAGGTACACAAACAAAAATGCACACATACTGTATATTACATACAGTCTTGTAGCAGTATTCAAATATGTGTTCAAATATGCATGTAGAGAAAGTACTATATAGGCCAAAGGCAGACACAGATAAAGTAGCCCTTGCACTCCTTCAACAACCTGATATTATAGAAGAGGAAGAAAAGACTAGAAGATACGTATGAGAAAAAGCACGAAATGCCAGCATACAAAATATTCAAATGATATGTTTAAACCAATACAGTCATTGGTTTGAACCCAGTAGAAGATGAAAAAAAGGCCAACTAAGGCTGAAGAAGCTAAGAAGAAGCCATAGTGACAGGGAAAGGTAGAAACATATGGCATAAAAAAAAGGAAAAAATAAAAACTAAATTATATTTCGGCTATGACAGAGAAAAGATTAACTCAATAGTTGACCTCAGATAAGAATAACTATGCATCTTACAGTGAATGCATTTTGTAATTTAAAATTTTGAGTAAACCATTTGTTAGTAAGATGTAAACATTTTAAAGATTAGCTGTAGTTAGTGAGGAAATAAGAATTTTGACATTAAGGAGCAATATGCACTAAAGTTAGCAGGCTAACCAGCTAGACCAGGCTTGGCCAACTCCAGGCCTCGAGGGCCGGTATCCTGCAGGTTTTAGATCTCACACTGGGTCCACAATATTGTCAACAATGTCAATGCTGTCAAGAATGTCAACAATATTGTATAATGTGGGAAAGTCTCAGATTGGTCTAACTCTAGACTTATTTATTCAGAGTTTTTACTTATCCCAAGAGTCTAAATCTGTTCCATGTATAAATTTATTCTTGCATTGTTTTGTAGTTGAAGTGGACATCTGATTCATTAGGTCAGGGATGGGCCAACTCCAGGCCTCAAGGGCGGGTCCTGCAGGTTTGAGATCTCACCCTGGGTCAACACACCTGAATCAAATGATTAGTTCGTTACCAGGCCTCTGGAGAACTTCACGACATGTTGAGGAGGTAATTTAGCCATTTAAATCAGCTGTGATGGATCAAGGACACATCTAAAGCCTGCAGGACACCAACCCTCGAGGCCTGGGTTTGGACACCACTGAGCTAGACCCAAGTAGTTCCACTTTCTACCTCAAGGGACAATAGTGAGTCCAGTCTCTTTTTGCCCAAAGTATGGTTTAGTTTAAAACAAATTGTTAAAGAAACAAAAAGTGAACATATATAAGGTCAAAATTGTTTTTTGGAAATGATCATCTTCCTCTGAAAGTGATAAAAACAGAATTTGGATATATTCCATTTTAAATATATCATTAATAACCTTAGCTGTCATAGGCTAAAGCACATTTTTACGCATGATGTCCTCATAATATATAGGATCAATTTATTTGTAGGATAGATTCAAATCTGCGAACAGTTATTGGCTCCCAGTGCACCGCTTTCACCAAATAACTGCACAGTCTTGCATTCATTCTTGAGTTTCTAACACAATTCATATAAATATACCCACAGCATAACCTCTTGATATTCATATATGCATTAAAATGTTAATAGACCAAATTACTGAAACAGCACAATATGTTTGATATTTTTAAGTCCCAGTGTAGAATTTATGTCATCAGGTTTTCAAATTACATTTTCAAAAAGTTTCACCACTAAAAACTATATGAATGTATTTCAGCATTTTTCTTTTCTGCCAGGTAAAAAGTTTGAGAGGCATTTAATTTAATATGATTTTTATTTAACTACATATTAATTTTTCGTTTGAGGTGCATCAAACCTTTCATTTGTGTTAGGATTTGAAATAGTACACTTTGTTATTTATTATGCTCAGTTTTTTTTCACTAGGTTAAAAAACACACACACACACACACACACACACACACACACACACACACACACACACA